CTTATGTCCTTCTTCTCTAACATAGTTTTACTGTTTTTTATTGAAAGTTTTGTTTTAAAAAGTTGGTCCAAATGATCATTGGGAAGAGTTCTACAATATTTTAATTACTTATTTTAAAAAAAAAAAATTATATTAATTATGTTTATACTTTTTATATATTTAAAAATTAATCTTTTTTTTTTTTTTTTTTTACAAGATACATGAACAAGTTAGAATCAACCAATAAAATAAAAATTAGAAGTGAGTATTAGAATTAAGTTTTGGAAGCTTACACAAGGGCAGCATAGATGATTTTATCAAATCAGAGATAAGATCTATCTGTGGCTAATAAAAATATAAGAAAAGGTAGAGAGAAATTAGTAAATATATAATATATTAGATTATCAGATATTATTTACCTATTAATTAATTAGCATCTACTTATTTAGAAAATAAGTATTTTGCATATTATAAAACTATTAGGTTGCTGACAGATATTATGTAATATTTTAGAGGGGGTAAAAAATTATGCAATTAGTGAATCTGTGCCCAGTTATGCAATGTAACGATCGTCAAATGATTTTCTAAATGTGATGTTCAGATATTCTCATATTAATAAATTTGAAAGTTTTTAAAAACTTCTAGAGTAGTTTTCTCAATAAGTAATTATTAAATTCAGCAAAAAAAAGTTTTTATTTTAATTCCATAGTCTCATAGGATTAAATAAAAAAAAAGTATATTGGATTTAGTTTAGTAGTTGCCAAGAAATCATCGCTAAAAGTTTTAAAAAAAAACTTAAAATATTATTAAAATCGGGTTAATTTTTCTCTCTTTGAATTTTAAATAAAGATTTTTTGATACCCAACTATTCAAATTCAATGAAATTTTTTTTTATTTTAATTCTATAATTCTATAAAATTAAAATCAAAAAATTTTCATCAAATTCGGTTAGTTGGATGTCAAGAAACTTTGTTTAAAGTTCAAAGAAAGAAAAATTATAATTTATCATCAATTACTAAACTAAATTCAATGAACTTTTTTATTTTAATTTCACGAAACTATAGAGTTAAAATAAAAACTTTTATCGAATTTAATCAAGTATTATTCGAATTTATTAATAGGACCATTTCAGGATTTTGTACTTATGCGAATAAGCATACTATACTATTAGTGTAATGTAATGCATAATATATAATATAAAAATCGAGACTTAAAAAATATTTACAAACTTTAAAGATACAATCCCAGAAAAAATAATGTAGCAAGCAAAAAAGCAATTTTTTTTTACTAAACAAATCAATCTATATATTTGTTCTCAACAAGTACAAATTATCTAGAAATTTTTTATAATATTTTGATGCATTTATAGTCTATTTTTTCAAGTTAGCAAAAAAGTTTTTATAAAGATCAAATTGTATAAATATAAGAATAAAAAATAAAAAATAAAATTTTTTAAACGCATAAAAGAATAATATATAGAATTATTTGTTTAGTAAAAAAGGCATCTAAGTTGTAATGATTTAAATTGCTAAAAATTTTAATGAGAAATACATTCAAATTTTTAGAATTTATACTTTTTTTTTTTATGAAAATCCAACTATTACTTTTACCAGAATTACTACCAAAGCTTCACTTCCATGCCTATTATAGGCCATTAGGCGTGTTTTTTGAAATTGCTTGGTTCAAATTATGTGGGCATTTTTTTTGACATTTTTTTCTTGCTGGCATAATAGAATAGTCAAATTCTTGTATTCCAGCTTTATTAATTTGTAAATTATTACTTTGATTCTCTTGATGTGTTTCTTTAAGAATTCAGTTTGAACCTTGTTTACGTCATGAAGCAGTGGTAACTTGAACTCGTATCCTCTTTCCACAATGGAGATAATTTTTACAGTCAGTTCGACCTGTATCTCCATCACAAGCATAAAGAAAAGAAGTTACAGCAGGATGAACATAAGTATCTTGCATTTTCCTATATCTTTTATATGATTTGACAAACTTATAAATACTATTGTTTAATACAGGATCATTTTGTCTCAAGAGGTTCTCTAGATCACTGCAAAACTAGCAAAGTTTATTTAACGCACTTTCATCATTATTCGTGTTATTGTCATTGTCATCAATATCATTATTGCCATTGTCATCAATATCATTATTGCCATTGTCATCAATATCATTATTGCTACTATCAATACCATTACTATCAGCAATATTTGAAGATTCAGGTAAAGTGAACATATTTTCATCATCGGAACTATCTGACTTATCACTATTAAAAATTTTTCTAATTTTTTGCTCTTTATCGTCATGCTCTTTTTTGAGTTGTTCTTGATAAAGATCAGCATAAAAACAGAAAGGCTTGCACTTTTCACCTAGTGCTAAGTAAGTATAATAATATCGTTTTTCTGCGGACATTGTAGAAATTTGGTTTAACTCACATATATTATAATGTTTAGCTATAGAGGCTTGATGTATACATGGCTCCTCTATTAGACTACATTCACATGTTCCCAATCTCATATCTACAAGATACTATATATTTAAATTCCTACTACTCCTATGCCTGTACACCAGTAAACTTTGGTTCACAATTTTTATATCATCTTTTATTCCAATTAACCATTTTGAAAGTCGAAAGCGAAGGGCAATGAAATTGTCTAATTTGTTATGGGCCACTGCCAACAACCTACGAATATAATAGAGATCCATAGTGTTGATAATGAATTAAAAAATTTGTATTACATTATATGCTTGGACCCTCTTAAAAATAATTTCTTTCATTATCCTAATTCCGGCCTCAGCGATATTGTTAGTATGATTATTACAGATAGGAAGCAGTTGGCGAAATACGACAGCCCATTCACGATGACATTCTCATGAAATTTTGAAATGGTTTTAAAAGGTTGGATACTTCTGATAAATATTGCTATTAATTAATTCTGAATATGCTATATTAAATGCAAATTTTGTTTTTGAAAAAACTATTTTTTTGATATATTCGATTAGAGTTATATGATTATTATTATGAATCTTATGTTTACCATCTCAAAGCCACCTCCACATAGCCTGCAAAAAATGAAAAATGCAAAGAAGCAAAGTCGTATTTGGCCAAGTATTTTGCAGTACTACTTTTTTCGCTCTACAATCATCTGTTATAAATACCTGGGGCCCGATGACAAATCTTTGTCCCCCAAATACTACTGATGGAATCATCTTTTTTACTATCTTTAATGCTTTTGTTCTGCCATGTAGCATAAAGCTTTTAATTTTTGCCACACCATAGTATCTAAAACATCTCCTAATTTGGT